ATTTTTTTAAAAAAAAATTAAAATTTTTTTTTTTTAACCCTTTTCCATTTTTTTGTTTTTTTTTTTTTTTTTTTTTTTTTTTGCTTAATAAAATAAATTATCATTTGAAAATTGATTTTTGACACCAGTAAGGAGGGCAAATACTTTTCGGAAACTGAATCTATATGGTCCAAAGTTAATAATCAAGCAGTTAATCGCAATGTTGTTTCAGCTGTACTGTGATAAGTGTAAACAGGGCCTTACCTCTTTGGTGTCCCAGACTTCTGCTCCGTCTGTGTACATGACCAGCAGCTTTTGGTTCCCCTTACCAGGAGCGAAGCGGATCTTCTTCACCCAACCCCGATGTGTCGGTATCCCTCTGAGGAAAACCAGTTTCACATATTGAACCGGTCCTGCTACTTCTTTAAACATAAATGACTAGCCAAAAAAAATAAAGAAATCGACAAGGAGAAAGAGGTCGTATGCCACTTCTTGTACAAAACGTATTGTACAAAAAGTCTGTCCTGTTCAAGAAATTTCTTAAAAGTCGGCAAAAGTGTTTCATTTGAAAGATGATAACAGAGAATTTATAAGCAGAGTTATCTGCACTGGCAACATGCTTGGACAGCCAGGGAGCCAGAAAGGATTCATTCCTCACAATGGAAAACATGAGATGCAGAGCAAAACTACATTTACTTCCAAACATCCGGGACTTTTTTCTTTGTTGTTTTACCTGGACAGTCGAGCTTTAAGGTCCCAGAAGTTAAGATTGCCATCCACATCTCCAAGCACCAGGGTGTCGCCTTTCCAGGCAATGCAGGCGATGCTGCCCATGCTACCCTGCATGGAAGGAAGCGCAAAGGTTTACCCAGAGCTTCAAGATGCATATCTCAAAAATTTAATAAGCAACGATAACAAAACCCATGAAAGATGTTAGACCAGAAGTTAGTTTTAGAATCCTAGCTGCTTTTCTTTCAGGATTCTTATTTACTTTTCATAAACGAAGCATTAAGAAAAACTAGCTTTTAAATGTCCAGCGCACAGTCAAGTGTGTGTCACATCACAAAGACAAAGTAACTATTAAAAGATATGGCAAGAGAGCACACAACACAAGCAGTGAGAGAAGCAGAAGACTTATTGATAGCGGCTGGAAAAACCTGTAGTAACGATCAGATATGAAGCGTGGAAGAGACCTGGAGTGATAACTAAAAAATGTTACGACTCACGTCAGGAGGGATCCGTGCTCCGTCTTTCACCGTGTTGCCCTCCACAGTGATGTGGTAGACCTGGCCATCGGTGTCTGTGAACACAAAGTGTTCCCTGGCAGAGATGGCCTGACTGGTCTCTGATTTGCTCTCAGCATCTTGCAGGAGACTGTAGGGGAGTAAGGATGACATAAAGCTGTGATTTTGTGGTTAAAAAAAAAAAAAACAAAACGTTTTGGTACTGCAGTCCAGAAATCAAGAGTAATCATTTATAATCATATTTCTTAAGCATAAACACACTACATGTCTATTTTTGCACTTCCCTCTTTGCCTGCACTCAATATCCACACCATCCATAGTGAAGGTCTAATCTAATAATAAATTAGATTATTGAAAAGCCCATTAACTTCAAGAATTTTATCACTATGTGATACATTATAGATCAATTACACAACAATAGTTGCTTGAAAGCTTTTATTTCTGTTAAATATAATGATTTTCCACTTACAGGTAATGAAAACATACTATTTAAAATAAAATATCACATCAGACCAATGAAAAAAAAGACTTATTTTAAAAACAAAAATGTATCCTTCATAAAAAAAAACGTATGTTTAATACCTGCTTAAATGTTATCTTCAAAAGGTACGTTGAATCTGACAAACGAGACTCATCGGGATTCATATTCTGATTTACTGCATACGAGTGTTTACATGTTTAAACAAAATCAATTTGCACTTATCATTATGCTAGCATCCTGGCTGTGGCTTCAATTTAATATCATTGATTTCTTCTGCAGAGTGTTCTAACCACGGAAAAATCAGGAACAAATTGATGAACTTTCAACTCTCACCTGATGACTGAGGACTCAACACTGCTCTGCTCTGCGTCCGACACGGTCTGCCTGGCCATGGCCTCCCTTGCTGCCATCTGCTTTTTCTTGAGACTCTTCAGGTTGTGGGAGGGAGACCATTCCTGTTAAAATACACACCATCAGGTCTCAAGTCTCTAATAACACTATCAAACATATGCCGTCTTGTACGCCTAACGCTGTGCTGCTGCAGGGTTTAAATTCATATCAAGTCGGGTTTTTTTTACTTCTCTTGAATCGGAATTTTTAATCATTTTCTTTTTCGTAACATCTCTTCAAACTAGCAGTGACCGTTTTCACAACTGAATTGCTGTAAATTATGTTTTGGTAATATAAATAATAATGAGATGAAATATTGTTTTTAATAAGAGGAAGAAAATGGATTGATGGAAGGATGAATTCAGGTTTTAATTTTAAAACATGAAAAAAGAAAGAAAAGATTACAGTTTGCACTTTTTTTTCCCACGCGAAGCATCTACAATACTTAAAACTAAGGCATCATTTCAGTTATGTTGTAATGTTACTTTAGCACAAAAACTGTCGGAATAAGAAAAGGATCCAGATTTCACTAATATGCAAAACTGTGGTACCAGCGCAGTGACAGTGGGGAAGCTCTTGGCCATTTCTCGAAGAAGTGTCCCTGTCCTGATGTCCCACAGCTCCAAGGGTTTGTCTCTGAACACCACCACCAGGTACTGCCTGAGGACGACAAACACACATGTACATCTCTGACCTCAAATGACAGACATTTAAAAACTCCTACTGGTTGACCTAGTTTTTCGAAAAGCAATTATGCTTCATAATGTTGCTGAAGCTCACTAAGGGCTGACGTCTTGTAGCTCTCTTCTGGTCCACCAAAGCAGTCCAATCACATGTTTACACTTCAATGCTCAGAATATTTTGAATTATTTTCTTTAAATCCTTTTCAGGCAGATTTATGGTTGTGCTCTAGATTACGATCGTCTTACACAACCTGACTTTAGAAGAGTTTTGACCATTCAACAGGCAACGCCACACTTTTCTCTATAAGACTTTATTAAACCTGAAGTTTAAGATGCACTAATTATTTCAACAAAAACCTCTTAGTCAGCCAAATTTTCCTCTTTATACTAAGACATTCTAATGTATGTGTATTAGCTAGTTATTTGTTTAGTTTCAATTGGGAGGAGGTCAACACTTACTTGAGATGAGACACTTTAATCATTTCGATGGGCGGCTCATCGTTCCCTCGCTCACCTCTGAATGCAAAGCATCGGCCTAAAACACACAGGCAGAAAGAGAGAAGACAGATAATGAGATTAAGAGTGTGTGCTAAAGAGGAGCTACTGAGGAAAGAACAAACAATGTTTCCTCATACATCTAAAACAATTGTGTCATCTAATTTTCCTGATAAAAAAGCTTTTTCTGCCATTTCTCTTGCTGAAGTTGCAAGGGAAACGAGTGCAATTTAATCTGCAACTTGCTGTGATTCTTACTCCGCTTCGGCAACTTTTCGCCTACAAAAGACAAAATTATTGAAAACATCAAGATGGCCTTCTCAGCAAAATAAGAACGTCATTCAGGGGTGCGCTACTACATTTCCTGATTTGATTCTGCAAAAGACAATTTAGAAAGCAGCTTGTTTAAATGGTAAAGTTGAAGATTTTCCTGAGGTGCATTACCTGGTTGCCTGAAGATTATAATAGGTGCACAAAAAAACTGAAAAAAATTTGCTAGATCTATAGTACTTACTTAATAAATTTGAACATCTTTTTTCTAGTATTTCAAATAAAAAAAAGAAAAAAAAAGTAGAATCACTACATAGTAATACTATTCATGTATTTATTTTAATTTTGAGTAATAATTATGACATACAGCTTTTTGCAACCCAGAGATCAACTTAGAATATAGAAATGTGATTTTTCTAAAGGTATGCCTATCTGCTGTATAGCATAGAGCAGTGTTTCTCAACCCTGGTCCTCAGCGCCCCCCTGTCCTGCATGTTTTAGGTGTTTCCCTTCTGCCACACACCTGAATTGTATCTCTGGGTGATTAACAGGCTTCTGCAGTACTTGATGGTCATGCAATCATTTGAATCAGCTGCTTTGCAATAGAGGCACATCTAAAACATGCAGAGCAGGAGGGGCAGTGAGGACCAGGGTTGAGAAACACTGGCATAGAGGGATGTTGCTCGCTAGACCTCGTGACACACGGACAGAGAGACAGAAGCTTGATGGTTTACGCTTGTAAAGTTAAGATGTTCAGATGAAAGAAACATTGCCATAGCAACTCCCTTGTAAACTCTTATTATTAATCCAAACACTGAACAGGTAAGACTTAAAGAATCCACTTCAACATCTACTCATGCAGCTTTATTACACACCACGAATGGAAATAAGAAGACAAAGATTTGAGTTATTTTATTTTAAGTTTAGAATAAAGAAATCAAAGGTGGAAATGCAAGGCTTAGCTACACACTGTGTGTTGCTTACCAGTAGGAAGGTCAACATGCTGCAGCTCGTTTCGCACCAGGCCCATGTTGTTGGGGGAAGAAGTGGCAAAAGATAGAAAGCTGGTCAGACTCACCCATTCGAGCCCCCTATGGGAGAAAAGCCATCATGTAAAGACAGTTTGCTTCGTCGGCGCTTCTTTGAGCAGGTGGAGCGTAGCGTTAGCTGATATTAGCTTAGCATAATCTGCTTTCCTTTCTAATAAGAAGTGCATCTGAATCAACTCTTCTGTATTTTCTCAAGGACTCATTTCTGTTCAGTTAGTCTCATGGTGAACCTGGTTCCACTTCAAGTTTCCTGATAAAAGAGAGAGGTTGCGTTGCCCTGGCAACACCTGTATGCTCAGGATGAGTAATTGCTGCAAAGTCAACGACTCAACACAATTTACTGTATGTAGATTAACTATCTTATTTTTACTAACTTAACTAAAAGATCAGTAAAAATCTAGGTTTTAGGATTTAATTATAAGTTATCGGTTCTGAATTCATTTGTCATGTAAAGTCTTTGGAGATGACCTGCATTGCAAAATGGTGTGATACAAATAAACCAAACTGAGCAAAACTGAAAATGTAAAATAACTTCATGTGCTTTTTCACCACTGGCTTGCGGTGGTGGGACTCTGGATAAAAAATGAAAAGTTTTTACCTGACTTCACAAGAGTGTACACTGAGTTCTTTGTGCAGAAGACCACTGGTCAGGTTGTACACCAGTACAGACCCATTGCTGGTGCCTGAGATCAGGAAACAGAAAAAGAGCAGCACATAAGAAACATGACTGACAAAAAAAAGTCAGAGTTTCTTATTGTCACGACATCTAGATGCATGTCGTGACTGTTTTAGGCTCCCTGAGATTGGTGCAGGGTGATCTGTTGCAGGAAACATTAACTTCACCGATCAACAAACCCAACCTGCTTAAACTCCCATGTGACATCCGATACAACGAGAAACTCCAGCGAGGTTTAATAGTCTCTTTTTTCTTGTCTCTGGCAGAGCTGTACTTCATCTAAAAGATACAGATGTGTGTGTGGATGTGTGTCTGACATAGGGTTGTAACAATTCTTAAAATTTGAGGACTTTGATTTGTAAAGTTCCTAGAGGCAAATTATCTGCCTCGAGTCTTCGTTAAATTATGTTTTGCCATTTAGCGTGTTGTGTTCCGCTCAGATGCTCATTTGATTTGCACAACAATCTCACTTCCGCTAATGAGACATTGATGAATGGACAGAAAGAAGCGCCACCAAGGAGGAGACAAGAAGTTTAAATCAAAGAAGTTTAATTAGGACTGAAGTGTTTCCCTATTTAAAAAAAAGGAACAAAATGGCTTCCTACTATCAATTTTCTCTTTCATATTTTTCTAGCTTAAGTAGCTACTACAGAACAGGACACATTTTTATTTGATGACTCGATTAATCATAAGAATAATTAATAAATTACTGAAATAACTGTTCACCACAGGCCTCGTCTTGATGCTTTCCTACCCACCTGCCGCCAGAAGAGGCTGATAGTGGCTGATGTTCTTGGTGGTGAGAGGTGGACACATGCGGATGGCAAACGGAGGAAGCGGCAGACCAGACAGGAGGCCGGTGAGCAGGAACTTCAGCTGGACCTCCTGCTGGTTAGAAGATGGAGGAGGAGCCTCACCAGCAATCAGCGTCTGACCTGGATAAATTATACAGAAGCCATTTCTTTTTTTTTTAAAAAAAGCTGAATTTTTTTGTACATCCTGCATTTGTATTCTCTTTTTTTTTAACCACAATAGACAAAAAGTGAAAGCTACATGCTATAGACAGAGAAAATTTGGAAGAAAAACTGTAATTTCTTAAGTTTTATTGTTTTTTCCCCATAAAAGTCAAGAACAAATAAAGTTTATTAATTACACCAGTGGTTTTCTATCCTGGCTCAATCCACTGTCCTTCATGTTTTAGATGGGTCTCTGCACCGGCACACGATTCAGATTGAATTAACTCCCCATCATACCATTAAGTGTTTGTTGACAATTTAAATTCCATCTAATTGGCTTCTATCAAAAAATAAAACTGGTTTCCTTACGTAATGAAAATAAAGCAATCGAAACAGACAATGAAGCTTTAATGACCGTTATCAACATCATATAAAATACTGGATGCAATGTAAATAAAAATAGCAGCAGAGCTAGTAGTTTATAATGAAAAATAACTGTAAATTTGCTAAATTTCCACTAGTTTTAAATAAATGTACTTCAAATTACTAAAAGCATTCTTCAGCAGTGTGAACAGTGACGTTTCTGCTTTAAACATCAAACTGCCTCTGGTTTGACATATCAGATGGTGATGGTGGTGTTGTGTATGCTCTTACTGATCATGCTGTTGAGAGACAGATCCTGGATTCTTTTCTGGTTTGGACCCAGAGGAGCTCCACAAAACGACACGGGGGAGTAGAGAGGCGACAAACCAGAACTGAGGAGGAAGAACATCAATCAAAAATGATTTAGTCTTTCTGCCAAATGAACAATATTTGTTTTTATTAGTCTGCTGATCCACTGAGCAAGAACAAAAGGTCAAAGATGAAAAATATCTGGTTAATACAACCCCAGCCCAGAAAGAGAAACAAAATTATACACAGAGTTCCCACAGTGGAAAGAAGAGTTCATTAACCATAGTAAGACTCTGCAATTCCCCACTGCAAAGACTTGACAACAACATTTTAGATTATTTATGTTAAAATAGAATGACCTCTTAATATACCAATCAAACATAAATTATTCTGTAAAAAATAGTTCCAGCTTTTGCCTACCTTGGATTGACAACCGACCGCCCAGTGTGCGCTTTCAGCTCCCAGAGCATGACTCTTCCATCGCTGACCATGAGGGCAGCTTTGTTCTCGTTCACAGGGCAAATAACCATCCGGTACGGCCGGACCGTCTTAGTGACTCTTATGGCATCGCACTGGGAGCGCAGGTCATAAACAAGCTCCTGGACACTCTGTTCTGGGTCTGTTGAAGGAAGAAAATGAACATTTTGGAAGAAATTATGAGAAGGAGATTTAAGCAGAAAGATGTCCAAGATGGAGAATGGCTTAGCATCCAGGAACAGTGGATCAAAGACACACAAGAAGTACATACAAAGGTTAATTTCAATGCAGTATTAGCTGGAGCAAGAATGCATGGAAGATATCCGAGTAGAAAATGACTGATGCGAACGTTGTGTGAGAAATTAGGTGCTGAAGTTCCCGTTTCCATACCTGCTGCTTCCTCTTGTGCAGATGTTGAGCGGCACACCCGCAACGTGATGCAACCGTTCTCATGCAGACAGTAGAGGGCGTCGCGCTGAGTGCAGGGAATTACCTGAGGAAGAAAAAAAATGGTTTTCTGATCAAGTTTAATTAAATAGTAGAACAATGTGTAATTTGTCCATTCAAACACAAACAAACTAAAATGCAAAACATGTAAATACATGAAATATGAATTAAGCCCTTCTATGAATTTTATACCATTTTAGAAAACATTTCAAGAATTTTCCTAAAGTCGTCGACACGTTCTAAATATTTGAATACGACACATTTAACTTGTTGGGTTTTATTATTTTAATGTTCCACAAATCATAACAACATAACACTGAAGTCAACATCTAATTTGGTAAATGTAAATAATTATTTTACCATTCTTTTGAATCTGGGTCAACTTAAATCAACTCAATGTCTGCAATAATAATAAAACATCCTACCCTTATTATTGTAGCTTATTTCAAGTATCACTTGTAATCTGTGATGCCCTTACTTTCTTTGTGAAATAATTATTTACTTGCACACCAGATCGTAGATGAAGAACCACAGATCCAATTTAAAACCCAAAATTAAGCAAGTAAGGCTTAAAGTTGAGAAATATTTTTATGGGTTTTTGTCTATGGGGTTTGTCATTAAATAAAAAACTGATGTGGCAAATCAAACATAAAAAAATGACTGTAATGCCAACACTAGAACATAATAAAACTGCCACAAAGAATACGTAGCGATGAAGGAAACTCGAGAGAGCGCAGCATTCCTGTGAAATCTCATGTTGATCCATAGAGATCATTTTGTCAAACTTTTCAGGGTTAGCGTATGCAGTCCCTCACCTGGGTAAAGGGGACCCCCGAGCGCTCAATGGCCACCACGCCCACAGTCTGGCTGAGCTCCAGGTCCAGGATTAAAATCTCTCTGGGATAAAGCAGCAGCATGTGGTTCCTTTTGGACGGCAGGTAAGAGAGCTGCAGACAGTCGTTCAGCGTCACCGCCTCTGCACTGCAACATCGCACCGCAGGAAGGAAATAAGGTTAATTATTACCCTGACTTTTCCATCCATGCACTGGAAGACTTGACAATGAAATAGAAAATTAAAATTACTGGAAAGGCATTGAATAACCTTTGAACATTTTTTTTTTGCATTTTATCACACTAAAATCTCAAACTTTAATGTATTTTCGGGGATTTTAGGTCCAGGTGCTGTATTAATGCACATTCCTCTACTTAAGGAAAGGATTTAAACCTGGTTGATCAGTTTACTAAATTAACTTTACGATGTTTTCTTATAATTCATTCTCTTTTAAAGTCACTGTTACCATGGACGCGTGCCCATGAGCAGTGCTGACAAGTAGTCTCACTGGGAAACACCAGGTTAACTGAAGGCCAGGGGAGAAACTTACGTGGGTTTTTCATTGGTGATGAGCACTTTGACTTTATTAAGGGCTTTCTTGGCACCCGTGGGTGCAGGAGCAGCAGCAGGTGCAGGCTTGGTGTGTGCTGGGCTTGCATGAGGACTGGCAATGTACACCTTTTTCCCAGCACTGCTGGGTGGTTTGGAATAGGAAAAATCTGTGATGAAAACGATTCCTTCGCTGGTCAGCACTGCCGAGAAAGAAACAAAATAAATGATTTAAAATACATGATGTTCGGACTACTCCAAATCTGTTGGAATCAAGTCTTCCTGTAAGTTTGCATCTGACACTTTTTGAAATGTCAAATATTTGTCAGTCGTACTTTTTCCATAAAAACATGGCAAAACAAAAAACAGAAATTTTACCAGCAGTTTCATAGTTAAAAGTATGACTGAAGACAATGTTGTTGTTGTACAACAGCCTTATGAAGAAGATGTTCAGGGTTCTCTATAATTGTTGGGATTTCATGAAGAATCCTTCTTTGTACCATAATCTCCAGAGGTTCCACAGTCGTTCCCAAAACAGAGGCAGCCTTCTTTATCAAGTTGAGGAGCCTTTTATGTCCCTTTCTCTGATGTTGCTACCCCACAACATCAGAGAAATGTTGGCAGAAGACAACAAACTTACACCTTCTTGCTACAAACATGGAAGAATCTAAGTTTCCTCAACAAGTACAGTTTGTTCTATCCTTTCTTGTAGATGGTTTTACTACTGCAACTCCAGTCCTGAAGTGAACAACTAAAAACAATGCCATTATTTGACCTACATGCCATGTTGGACGGATCAAAAGGGTCGAAGGAAAAGGAGAGGATATTCTCAGCGTAGCTCTTCTTCCACAGCTTGGTTCCTGTGTCTCCATTCCACAGAACGATGTAGTTAGGAGGATGAACGGCTAACAGCAGGTCACGGGACGCATCCTGATTCCACAACCACTCCAAATCTGACACAGAAAAACAGGGAGGACAAAGAATTGAAGAGCAGCAGGAAAACAAACAGTGCTTCGGAGAATACAAACAATAGAACAAAAGTTTGAGGGCTCTCTCTCATGTGGTGGATGGTAAATGGCTGAGTCAGAGCTTCATGATTAGTTACTTCAAGATCCTCACCCTGAATAGGTTTGGAATGCTCCTGGATCTCGCAGTGAGCTGTCCCACTGACCACGTCCCACACTATGATCTTCCCAGATGCGTCTCCTGAGGCGAGCCGCAGACAGTAGGGAGAGCTCAAGTTGTGGTAGTAATTTTCTCTTGACCATTTCACCTACGAGCACAACACACAGATTTTGACTCAAATACTTAAACACTTGCAACATGTTGAGGAAATAAGTTAATACTTGATTTAAAAAAAACAAAAACAAAAACAAAAAAAACAAAAAAATCACAATGCTGCAATTTTTCCCTTAAAAAAGGAGAATCGCAAATCACTCAAGTTCTTGTTTAAATTATAACTTAACTTATTTCATTTTGACTTTATACTGCATCTAAATGTTTTAAAATTAACAACTTAACTCATTTTACTTAGGAAAACTCACCTTGACAACATTTGCTTTGTGCCTCTCAAGGACCTGGATGGTCTGAGCAGTCTTTGGATCCATTATAAGAATACTTGAGTGACATCCTTGTGCTATTAGCCCCTGCCATCCCCTGTAAGATATGGAAAATAAACAGAATCGATGGAAAAAATAAATAAAAACAACAAAGTCTAGGTGTATAAAGACAGGTAAACCATATGTGACTTTACAGTTACTTGATGAAGAAGGTCACATATATACACAAGAAATTACTATAAAAGACCTAACATACAGTGTATGTTCGCAGCTGGCTTGAAAATGTTTGAACATGTTCTATAGTTTTATTTCAGCCATGTCTGCATTATAGTTAACTACTTTCAAGGCTATGTTAATAAAAACATTAGTTGTTTGTTTGTTTTTATTTTAATTGACTTCAATATTTAGAAAGTCAAAGTGCATATCATATCAATAAAGGTTGTTTAAAGTACAATCATGTAAATAACAATGTTAGTCAATATTAAATTATGTTTCTTTTTATTTGTCTTTCTTATGCAAAGTTCTTCTGGTTCAGTGTGTTTGATTTTGTTCTCTGTCGTCACAGTCGGGGCAGATGCCATGTCATACTAAACCTGGTTTCTCTGTTACCACATATTTGATCAAAAAGATTACTGTAAAAATGGACAACTCCATGGAAACAGCTGTGATCCCTTAGATAGCATTTTAGCAGCTAGCATGACAAGTGACTTTCACTGTTGTATTTAATAAGGGTTTAATTGGACTTCATACAAAAAAGTAAATCTGGATATATCATTGGATCGGATCTGATGGGACTGCAGTTCACTGCACTGACATGAACTGAGATTGTGTCATATTGAATTCTACAAATAGATATGAACTGGACTGGAATGGTGGGAAAATGCTTATAGTGAGAATTAAATAAGTGTATTTAATTGAATTTGTTTAGGTTCTATGAAATAATGGTAAACTCAGTGTCCAAAATATTTTACCATTTCATTTCCAAAATATAAAGCAGTACATTTGTTGTAAACAGCATAAGCTGAATAAATTAACACAACGATGTCAGGTTTGACAACAACGAAGGAAAATCCCATAAGGTAGGATTCGCTCCAACCAAACCTAACGTCACATGACACACAAATGTCCTGCAAGGTTGCTTGTTGACACAATTCTGCATTGCCCACACGCCATGACACTGGGAGTTTTTCGACAGTAAAACCACCAATTCAGTCAAATAGTTTCAATAAAAAATAACGATTTTATCTGACAGCCGCAATGTCATTAGCGACTGAATTAAATAGCAACACAGCAATTATGCTAACGGCGGAAGTGCAGCACTCACCAGTCCACGGCTGTTTTATTCTGCAAATTAAGCGTGCCAGTCAGCGTCCGAGCAGCGAGTTTGATGTTGACAGTGTAAGGAATCATTGTCAGCTATAAACCTTGATGGTACATTAACATTTATTAACTACCAGCTGCGAAAATTACTTCGCTTATGGATGTTCGGCTATGGTCTGAATTCTACAAGGAAGTGAATAGGAATTCCATAAACACAACCGTGCAGCAACAAATTCCACCGCAGTAGGGTTCCGCAGATGACGTTTTGAAACGTCACAAAATAATTAAAACTGATGTAAAACTAATTTATCTCAGTTTTTCAAAGGAAACACGGCATCCACTTTGGACTGATAATTTTCTAAACTATTTCAACAAAATAGTTTTTCTATCCACAATTAAACAGTACATGGGAACTGATAAGCAGCTATATTTTGCACATTTTTGGAGACATTTTCCTTGAAGGAAAATGGTACAATTTAATGGACTAACAATCCAAAATAATGTGTTCTCTTTGTCATTGCAAAAGACAAACATGTGAAACTGGATATAGAATGAGAATTATATTGCTTTCATCACATAAATGCAAGGATAGACATTTTCGATACCAAGTGTGACTGGACACTTTCCAAAAATGTACACTTTTTTCACAGATTATTTTTTCAAAGGTCTGGGTGATCATCAGTATGTTTTTGTTGTGAGTCTTCGTTTTTTAGTTAAGTGACAGATACATTTTAAGTATTATTTTGTGTCAGCAGTGGAATTGACCAAGGCTCTCTCCATGGTTGTCATTTTTTTCCAGTCTTATCATTGAATCTTGACCTGAGGCTACCAAGATCTTTAGATTTTGTTTTCTGTTCTTTTGTGGCCTTTTGTTGTTAATGTGTTCTTGGCTAATTTCGGCAGACTGACCACTCCTGGAATGGTTGTTTGTCAGCTCCATTTGTGAATAGTTGTTCTCACTGTGTCTTGAAATTGTAATTGAAAATTGTCTTGAAATTCTTTAGATCAGAGCATGATGTGTTACTTTCTGAGGTCTTTCAGCCCACTTAATGTTTCCAGACTTTTAAGATTTGGATCTGGAATGAAATCTTATCAGCTGTGTAAATGGATGATAAGTACTTTACTGACAAAGTAATGATTATTTGAAAAACTTATTTTTTTTTTTTCAAATAAAAATGCTCATAAAAAATACTTCACATGCAAGCAAACAAAAAAGCCAGCAAAACTAACACTGTTTTTACTATTTCCAGCTGCTAGAGTTTTTCCCTCTCATAAAAAAAATAAATTAATTAAAACAACTCTTCTATTGACACAGGCAGTCTCTGGAGTATAACTGAGCAGCTGCAATTGCCAACATTCAAATGAGTCCATCAGGGAGGCTCCGACACAAACGTATCTTATTAGCTGCTCCAGATTGGCCATCGTGCAGCCCAGATGTATATGACCCTTTTGCGCCCCCTAAATGCAGAGATATTGTGATTAAAGCATGATTGGCACACTGCTTATTAATTATAATCTAGGACACATATGCACGGTGGTGGGCAGAGGGTAGGCAGCAGTGTGTGCCAGGCCGATGTCACACGGAGGCTAATTCAGGCTGACACGCCATCAAAGCATAGTCACACACACACATGCTGCAGCATTCCCCCGACACATGGACGTCACCTATAGGCAACAGAGAGAGGAGGTGAGGACAGAATGTTGCTCCCATGAAGGCTCCACAGCACTGCAACATAAAACTAACATCTAATGAAAACCAAAAAGGTGCAACTTTATGCACAGTATTTGAATATCTGCATATTTAATTTCTATATGCAAAGATTTGCCGCCATAAGTGTTCAGCTCTACATTACAATATAATTAGGTGACGATCAACCCATTCCAGCGCTGATTTGATGCATTGAACAACTAAATGCATCCGTTGTCCTTAATTTTCTACAGCTGAATAGAAACAAAACTGAAGTTATCAATTAATAGTCAGCACACAGCTTAAGTTATTACAATGAGAAACTGCTGAAGATAGGTCTGAGTCCATCACTACAGAAATAATTCAAACTTCTATTTTTTTCTGAAAAAAAGAAAAATTGGCCGACTTTGTATGCGACCATTTCTTCTTTTGGTAACATTTGAAAGTTATGAACGACTGTGGGCAGAGTGGAAAAAAGCTGCTTAATACCTTTCCCCACCTGACTTGCACCATGATGAAGAGACAATCTGCTTCATTCATTTCACTTGCAGAGGTCCCAACATAAGGCCTGATATGTGTGTGTGTGTGTGTGTGTGTGTG